TGATTACATCTGGTTTTTCCTTCTATTTGGGTCTTCCGAACCCTGAGCAACAAAACCCAGGTGACAACCTCACCTGAATGTGATGCTACACTTCCTGGTTAGCTGGCTTAATAGATCACTGCTTCTGAAACTGAGGCCTGCTATTCTTTACTCTTCTTCCTCTTCCACTTTGCTTTGCCCCACTGCAGGATGCTTTCTCCTTCTTCTGTCCTTCTCCCTCCACCAATTCACTAGAGCAAGCATCAGGGAACGGCTTCCCCCTTTGACTAGCTGAGCTGTTAAGACTCCATCAGGCCATAACATACATCCCAAATCACTCTCAGCTTGGCTTATACTCCAGAGATCACAGGGAAACTGGGATTCTTCTTACTCTCTTGTGTATCTTTGCAGGACCTTTGTTTTGGTGCCCCATGCCTTTGACCTGCAGCCGTGAGGGTTTTCTTTTCCAGTTAAAAGCTGCAATTGAAAACTTGTGTAATCACATGCACCTAAGAAGGTGTTGTAAAAAGAATATCAAATGGACTGCCACTAGCAATATGGTTGTGAAATCTGCAGCACTGGAACTGCCAAGGCTAAACTAAGGAGCAGATAAAATCCTGGACTCAATTATCTCCTCCTTTTGATTTTTTACTCTGTTATTACACTGACTTTAGAAGAATTCAACTTTCCTCTGAAGTGCACCAGTAAGAAAGAAAAGAAACAGCTGTTAAAAGTTTAATGTTTTAAAACACTGTCTGCTTAAGGCTATTTTAAATGCTCTGACACTTCAGTTTTCGTAAAGTCTGTCACTTGTTTAAAAAGAAGGTATTTTGCCAGTGATAAAACCACACTAAGTATTATTGAAAGATTTATTAGCCTAGAGTAATATTTTACAAGTTGCCAGGTGCATTGTTATCCCCTCTAATAGAGCCCAAAATGAACAGACCAAAGTGGGTACCAATCCTTCGCTCCATCAGCAGTAGCTTCTTATCATTTAGGATCAATCTGGTTTTGCAACTCTACAGCTGCTGGATAAACAGCAAGCAGGGAAACAACATCACTGCTTCAGTCCTCATGCCAAGCCAGAGGGATGAGATGCTGCAGAGGACAGGCAAAAATGCCTGTCACATGTTCCAGAGCCAGAACTGGTTGTAGAGCTTTGGGAAATGGGAATTCAGAGGGAGAAGCCACACCATAACATCCTGCACGGCCCCTGCACGAGCGACACAGCCCCATGGCTCGCCATTAAATCCCAGGTTGTTCAAGAGATACCAGAAGTCACAACCCTCCTTTCACTCCTTCTGCCCCAGGAGTTTGCTTGTGATACAGACAGAAGTCAGTACGTTTGCCTCCCATTTGCATCCTTATCTGAGATCTGAGAAAGGAACAAGATGCTCTAGAAGGAAATAAGCTAAAGGTATATTGTTAGAAAATCACACCATTTTGGATAACACACAGATTTTGAATGGAGTCCTCTACAAAGTACACAGTGTATTATACAAAAAGGCCAGAGAAACTGTATCCCATTCCCAGTACTGGCACCATTCACTATGTTTCTTCTGGCAAGTGGCTTCTGGACAGAGCTGAGAATAATTGGAATTTTTAGTTAACTGATCAAACAAAATGAACCTAAAGGAGTTTTCATTTTAGGGCAACCAAAATGAAGGTTTTCAATTAACTTATCAAATTGGAAACCCAAAGCATTTGAAAGCGTTGCTTTGGAGGCTTTAAGCCTTGGTCGAGCCTTGAAAAAATGACCATTTCGAAATGGGAATGTCTTTTCAAAAGGATAGATCAAAAGATGTTGATTTTTCCTCTCTCCTCATTCTTTATTTAAATCATGTTGAACCCAAGACAAACATCTTGAGAATCTGATCCATATTAACAACCCAGCGAAAAAGTCTGCTCACCAATCTCTTTTCCATGAGGTCAGTAGGAGTTTTACCATCTACTTCAATGGTCAGAATCTCTTCACAGCACTTTGAAATCCTCACTTCAACTTCTTTGTGTCTCACATTCCTCATTTGTGAATCAGAGCCCACAACATGCCTCCATGTTATTTTTTTGTTGGTGTGGTTACTCTGTCATGATGGACCAAACAATTTGAGATAATGATTTGTCAACCAAAATATTGTTTCAATGGACTAAATTCTGTCCTGACTTATTCAACCAAGTCTGGCAGGAAAGAAGTTAGTGCAGAATTTGGTCCAGCTCTTTAAAGATCTTTGAAGTCTCAGATGAAAGAACTGAGTAATAAATGTGGTCCCTGAAATGAAAAGACAAATGAGGTATCCTCATTCTGCAAGGAAAATGAGCTTAAACTCATCATTAATCAACACCAAGGAAATAGGAATAAAAGCTAAGCCACGAAGACGTAATCAATCTGTTAGATGCTATATGACAGATGCATTGAAAAACAGCAATGGGAAAGACACAAAGAAATTTAATCTTTCTTTGTATTCCAATGGGCATCTTAAGGAGACTTTTTCTTCCATTTTCTATTCACTACTCTAATGCCCAGAGAACAGAAACTCTAATTGCTGTTGCATGCTGAAGGCTGGCCAGTAATTATGTATCTTTATCTTCATTAGATAAGATGTCTGTGAATAAGGCTTGGAGTGAAACCGAGCAGGTAAACTGGAAACTCTGAGACACATTTTCAATTAAGAGCTCCCTTTAAACTCAAGTTAATGCTGCTCAAACCTGCCTTCCTACTGCAGAGGAGTGAACTCTAGGGGTTGTTTGCAGAAGCCTAGAACATCCTGATCTTTGACTGGTGATTTCCTGCTTTGACATGGGGCCTACCATTAGTATGATTGAGCAATGGTGTATATATATGGATAATACTAAGCACACAAGCATTTATTGGTATATTCATGTGCTTATAACCAGTGTTAGCTATTCACTTCAGCAGTATTACAACTTTAATTTCTTTGCCAGGGTTAGAGTTGAGCATATTTATCCTACTTTATACCAGACAAAACCATTGCACAAACATCCAGTGTACATGCCAAATAATTCTGATAAAATAAAACTCTGGAAAACAAAACTGACTTTAAAAGTATCTTCCAAATGATGTATTTGCTTTCAAATTCTATTTATGGAGTTAAAAAAACTAAAAAGTTAGTTAATGAGTGAGTTAGTGAGTGAAGACTTAGTCTATTAACTTCCACAGGGAAGACAAGGACCCCAATTAATTTCTTTCTGTTTTTAAACCTAGATTCAGTCTAAGAGTTTGTTATACTTGGCTGATTTATCAGGTTCAAAAGGGCTTCACAGAAGCAAAAAAATTGCCTCTTTTAAGACAGCTAGACAGACACATTTAATCAGAAAATACCAACATGGTGCCTGTTCAGAGAAATAGAAACCCTGAGTAGGTTCTAAAATCAAAACATAAAAAATGCTGGACTTTGAAATTGCTGGGGTTCATCTTGTGTATAAGAAATTATCACAAAGAAATTACTTGGAGCAAGTCCAGTAAATGTAAAAATTGCATTTGACCAAAAAACCCCAAACCAAATTGTATAGAGATAGTGCCAGATCCTTTAAACCTGTTCTGAGCTCTACTCTTCAATTATCCCGCTCCAAGTTATCGCTCCCTCTGTGACATTAAGTTACTAAATCTGTAGGTATGTCTCAACCCCCTAACAGTTTCCCATACGACAGTAACAACCAAGCACCTACACCCATCTTTGCCTATAAAGGCAAAAATGGTCACTAGGAAGTCTGTTTCAGGTGACAGTGTCCAGAGAGGCTTGCTTTGAAGCTAAACACTACCCTCAGCTGTTTGAATCCAAATTAAAATGAACTACCATAACTGAGAGGAAGCTTAGCAATCCAGTCAGCTTCAGGCTAAGGCAAATTTCACAAAGGCCAAGTCCTCAATATGGTGCAGTTCGCAAAAGCTAATGGGATAACAGGATTTCCAGCAGCTGGAGGGGTGGCCTGTAGTATTTGTAATGGCTTTGTGACATGCTGGGTATGTTAAAAAACATCCCATTTTAACTTTTATTTGTAGCCATGTCTCTCGCTTCCTGTTCTCAAGTGACAGGCACAGATGAGTTTGTGAAAAGATAAAAGCTGCTGTAGACAAGCCAACATTTCTGTCACTATGCTGGAATGCTTTCTACCATATCTCCCACAATCACTGCTGCTGACCATGTCCTTCCATTTCCCTAAAGGTGGGTTAACCATTAAGCAAGCTGAGTGGGAATATGCAGGACATCTTACAAGCTTTTAGTAGCAATATTGGTACAAGTTGAAAGTTTCAAGAAGCAGCAATCTTCCTGAGGATCCAGTGTGACCATACAATTTCAGTAATGAAGAGGCTCTTAAAGACACTCCTACAAGCTCTCTCCTCTCAACTGACTAAGAATGTAAATACTCTGAGTCAGAACTAAGATGAGCAGTATCTTACTGCCTGTCATTTATATTTCAAGGAAGTTTAGGCTATAGAGCTGTTGTACACAGTAAATCTACTGGTCAAATGTCTTACCCAGCAGCTCCCAGTCCAGGACTGGCAGCCAACATGTCTCCTGTGGCACACCCTAGTAGCAATTATTGTGACCAAAGAAAATTCCAGATTTAAAGCTAACGTTGTTTTCAATACACTACTGGGTCAGTACCAAGAAAAGACCCAAACTCTGAGTCATACAACTCCTGTTCCAATGGCAAACCAACTTCAGAGTTGGTACCTTCTTCTCCAGAACATCAGCTGACAACATTCCTACACAGCCCATATAGCTGAAAACTAAAAGGCAAAGGTAGAGTGAACTCAAAAATAGTTTAAAAGTGGGAAGTGACAGACAATTCCAAGTATTTGACATGCAGGATGAAAAATGTGTGATTTTGTGTTTTCCTTATTGCTCCACCGAACCAATCTGTACCTAACAGTGGTAATAAACCTCCATCTTCCAGCAGTAGAACAGTTAGGAAGATGAAAGAACATGCCACATTACAGAACAGCACTGGTTTGCAGGGCCTCTGCCTTTGTGTAATGGGTCAGAGCAGTATGATCCTACCTTAATGACATCTTCATCTGATGATCTGCACTCCACAGATTCCAGAAGATCAGTCACAGTGCCATCATCTTCCACAGAGATCACTTTGACAGGGACAGCCACTGTTTTTCCAGTCAGAATAGCTGTATTCAGGATCTCTGCTTCCTAAGAGACAAAAAAAAAAACAACCCGCTTTGGTTAATGTGTTTTGCTATTAATTCATTAGTACCACCTAGATTCAAATTCACTTTAATTTCCAACAGCTATGCCAAGAACTGTTCCAAGTGCAGCAGGCGGGAAAGAAAAACTTCCTCCCTTCAATCCCGGAACCAAACTGCCAGTTCTGATTCAGGCCTGTTAAGGTATCTGCCATGCCCTAATTCCTATTTCATGAATGCTTATCAAGTATCAGAGAAACCCGACAGTCGAGGAATGACCCTGCAGCACATAAACAAGATGTACCTTGCATCTAGCAATAGTGAAATCTCCATCCTGAGCAGCTCATTAATAACCTCAATAATCACATAAAATTAATGTCTTCAGTCTTGCTGTTTAATCCACAAAACTGTTTTCTGAAAGTTCTTCTACAAATACTGATATTCTGTGACACTACTGGACACACACTGTCAACATTTTGACCAAAGAAATACTGTATAATTGTTAGGGAACAAGTCTGGTTTGGGAATTAGGGAATTAGTTTAAGACTGCCACCATTCTGGTCCTGTGTTAAATGATTGTATGTACCACAGGATTGTGAGGACTCAGGTTTCCCAGGATTATCCTGGCTCTTGTTGGCTAATGGTGGCCAAGCACTTGTTCACAACTGTTTCTTTACATGTACATGACTCTCATGCAAAAACATTCTCTCCAAGAAAGGAAGGATGCTGAGAAGGGCCTGGACTCTTTAAACAAGATGAGCTCTGCTGTGACCTGTGTCTCTGGTACATCATTGTTGTGATGGTTATTGCAAAATGCATTCCTTCTGTTTGGTTTATCACTTCTAATTTAAAAGCACTGAGTTCTGATCATATGAAGAGCATGAGACTGAACAGTGCTCTCAGTTACCTGGCTGTCACATCAGTCTCACACAGCAGATACCACTGGCTTGTGCCAAGATACAACAGAGAGCACAAATTGGTGCCTGAATTCTTCGGCTCCTAATTGCAAGATACTGCTCATTCCTGGAAAGGTCTCTGAACTACTCAGAACTGTGCCTGTGAACCATGGACTATCCCATAGAAAAAAAGGCTCTTGATTTCAGCTGGCTCCTGTGAAATAAAAGCTTCCAAAGCCCCCCAAGTGCTAACTCCTCATTATCTAAATAGCTCACGCTATGAGCTCTGAGAATGACCCGATTTTACTTGTGGAAGACAACAAAGTGGGAGATTGAAACCAAGTTACCAGAAGAAGATGACTCCCCCTACTGCCTCTTGGGCTAAAGAGAAGCTGAAATTTCCCTTGTATAAAGGACACAGATCAAAAAGACCTTTTCCTATTACTTAAAGAAACAGAGACACTTTATTCAGACTCAAAGCAATATTTAAAGAAAGAAAGAAAAAAAAGCCCTGGTCTTTTGACGGCTGCTTTGCTAAAGTTGCCTCATCCTCAATGTGATTTTTAGGGGAGGGTGAACTAAGATTTCACAAAAAGAGAACTTAAGAAGAAAATCCTCTCCCTCCCTCAGCACAAAAGCCCTTCAGATATTTTGAAATCATAATTCAAACAAAGGTGAGAGTATCTGCCTGGACCGTAAGGCCTTTCTGTCTTGAGTGTACATTTGTTCTCAGTAGAGAATATATTATTCAGGCAACTGAGATCTCAGAAATATTTGTAATTAAGTTTCCAGGTTCTTTTATTTGTTTCTCATCTGGGCTCTGCAGCAAAGTTACTGCATGCAGGTTATTTAGGTACTTCTGCCACTCTCCTTTAGGCTCCACAGAGCTGCAAATGGAGGCAGCTTCAGCTTAACAGAACAAGTGCTATTAAGCATCCACTGTAATTACAGAGTCCTAGCATTAGGTCCTGATTTTGATAACATTTGGGCATGAATCTCATTTCATTGGGACTATCTGAGGCCATACCACATGCCTAGCTACTCACACCTCATACTAAGCTGAGGTAAAAGTGCTCCCCCATGCAGGAACAGCTTTCTTCCTCCAGTGACACATTACAGTATGACCCTTGCAACTATCTTATAATGCAATGGGCAGTTTAATAATCAAGCCTTTGAAACAGTGTGATTAATGAGGTCTGCTTACCAAAGGCAAATGTAATTTCCCCTGGTAAGAGCTAGTAACTGAGAATGATTCTCACAAGCTTCACGAATTTCTTTCAAGTTTCTGAATTTTCCAAGTGCTAGTTTTGGATAGTCATAATACAGACTGCAGCCTAACATACCTGTTTCCTGCCACTTTATGGCAATGCATGAAAAACTAGGCTACTTAGGCCATATGCTGCTTCATCATCACTACCCTGCTTTCCTTCTCTGCTACCTTCTAAAGCATGTGCACAGCACATCTAATCCACAGGGAATTCTGAATGTCCAGAGTCTCAGTTGGCTTCAAAGCTCAGTAACATGCTCTCAGGTCCTGCCTCAGAGCTTTCTATCTGCAGCTGCAGTCTGACAGACCTGTACTTCACCCAGTTGTGTGAATAACCACAATTACTTTAACAACAGCATTTAAATGCAAGGAGATGAGTGTATTCATACCTGATTCTAAGGTAAGGTAAGGAAGTAAATTTGTATGTTGTTTCTGTCCAAAGTCAAGGATTCCAGATTCAAAGTTCTGTAGTTTTTGTGTGTATCTGTGTTGTAGATCTTCAAAAGCAAAGCGTTGCCAGAACTGTGCACAGTCCCTGTCAGACGTGACAGCATTGCTGATTCTTAGGCAGCCATAAAACTCTCCAGACCAGTCTTTGTCCCTTCTGTCCCCAAAGGAAATGAGGAAGGTGGGGGGCAGGAATCAGTGCCTGGAGCTCATACAAATCTTCTGTCTTCCTATCAGCAACTACTTATTCAGTCCTAGAAAACAACTGTACCCAGTACCTCTCTAAGGTAAAAGAAGGGCAAAGCGAGCCTGGGATGGTCTGAAGGTATGCTAACCTACACTAGAATAACTGAGCTGCGCATTCTGTTTGCAGAACCTCTGCGTCTATGGATGTGGAGGATGATGTCTTTAGGCACATAGTTTGCATCTCACCCTTGAACATGGAGGCATAATAACCATTTACACCTATTTACACAGCAGGAGCAGAGTAAAACACTTCAGCCATTTGTTTAATGGTTAGAAAGGGCTTAGTGTTCCCTTGGTGAAACCATATAAAAATTACTTCATTTTGAGGAAACAAACATGATTCTTATTTAGCTACACAGAGATTTACAGTTCAGTCTCTCAGCATGTAAATTCTATAAATCTATATAGTTACTAATTTAAAAATGTTGCTTTTTGCTGTGTAAGAGATAAAGGAATCTTCTGAAGAAATATTATGTTCTTTATCCATAACTAACACAGATTATAGGAGATACGATGTTCAGGGCATTGCAAGATGGGAATAGCTATGCTTTTGCAAAGCTACAGCCAAATATTCTAGCAGCCAGAAGTTGATTCCCTGAGCAGTTATTAAAAAGATGCTGAATTTTCTCTAACTATTATGTAGCATATCTCTATAATTCGATCCTCCCAAGTACTAAAATGAAATAAGAATCAGAGAAAAACATTTTTCTCCATGTAATAGAAATGGAAGCTCAGGTAATATTTATTCTGATACTGCTACCACGTTACAAAAAATAGTTTAAAGAAGATTCTGGAGGGAGTGTTCCTTACCTACTGAAGAGATTCATATTAAATAACTGAGCATATTAAGCCCTCCAGCAGAAACATATTCAGAAGATGTACACAGTAAGCATCTATTTAAGTAGAAATGCAGAACTGAATACCTATTAGTTCTTCAAATTTTAATTGGTAGCTTCCCTGCAATTTAATTTTCCTTTGGACATATTTTGCCTTATAATTCCTGTGGTGAAAGAAAGAACTTTAACAATATCTTTACAAATCTTAAGGAATTTCTTTTTCTTCCCCTAGTTCTCCCTGTATAGACAGAATATTTCCTAATGTTTGTATTAATAATGACATTTAAAAGAAACAAATACATGAGTAACTCATGCTTAGCTTTAAGGCCCCACATCAGAAAAAGACAAAGAAAAGTTTAGTACTGTTTGCCCCCTTTTCCAAAAGCATTTTAGCATGATTCCATGTATCATTTTGACGGTGAACCCCTGTTAGACCTCACAAACCTCACAACACAACAAGCACAAATGAGTGAGGCACCAGCTTGTTTTCAAAGAAGACCTGCAAACATGTTTGCTCAAAACAACTTGAGCTGATCTGCAGCTCGGCGTGGTGGTGTGCTCCTCCCTTTTCTGCATGAGCAACAGCCACCAGTGGTGGTCATGGTGGTTGCACCCAGCTTGCCCTGGACTCTGGGGAGACATACAACACAACAGCTAAGGACCATAAATCTTACTCAACAGCTGAGCCAACTGAAGTACAGCTGGCATGCAAATATCTTACTTCATAAACAGTGGACAGCCCAGGGCCTGTGGACCTATCCTGTACACCAGGATCTCTCCTTTAGTAAGGATACCTATCAAGGTTACTCCTCAAGGTTGAGAGATTCCTTATCACATGAAATAGTCAGTAAGTGAATTGGGAATAAGCGCACTGGAACTTTGAAATCTTAGCTAAGTGATAGGATCAATTGCACATATATAATCTTTTAGACATAAACCACTGACCAAGTCTGGGACTAAATATGGATCCAGCTGCACCTAAACTCACCTCTGAGAAGGAGTTTAGAACACAGCGGGTCCTTTCTGAACCTCATGACTCAACGGGAGGGTATCCCTGACAGTTTTGTCTGGCCTTGTCCTCTATGCAGTCAATACTGAAGTGTACTTTGCTGCTGGATCTTGTTAAACTACTGTTGCATTTACCACTGAACTGTGTTAACTGTCTTATCTCAGTAAAATACATTGTTGCTTCTTTCTTGCGAGTGAAGTGCATCACTCCATCTGCAACACTCACACTCTTCAGAAGGAGAAGTACTTGTCCTACTACAATATACAAGGAAAATTTATTAAAAAGTTCCCACAACACTATAATACA